TGGAGAGGAACGCAGCAGGTTTCCTGTCGGCTTCCTGGCCAGCAGACAGACAAGCTGGTCACCACGAGGTGAGCCAGGGTTATTTTCAAACCGAGCCCGAGTTGTAAAGATAAAAGCTGCTAGCCACGGCCTTGGGAGAAGGGGGTCCTTTGGGGGTGGAGACTCCACGTGTGTGTTCATGCACGTAGCTAGCTCGTGGTTTGGAAACGTCCCTAGCCACCCACGGCTCTGAAGGTCCACACTCCGTGCCTGCCCCCTTCATGTTTCTGGCCTGAGTCACCCCAGCTTGTGCCTTCTGTGCCTTCCCTGCCATCTGGGAAGGAAAAGGAGTTTTGAACTTGATCCTGACTAGTGGGCACAGAAGGTCGTTGCCCCATCCCCATCCCAGCCTGGCCCTCCCTGCCCATGCCTTCAGGTGCTGCACACAAGCCACGCACTGGGAGCTTCAACAAGGAGTGAAGTGGCGGTGGGCCCTGGGCCCTGGGAGGGAGGCAGTGGTTCAGGCCAGGAGGTGAGTCGGGAGGAGCCTGGCGCACTGCCTGCTGGGAACTCCTGGCCCTAGGAGGAGCTGAGCTCTGGGGGGTGCCCCTGCCCTTGCTGGGGGGCAGGGTGGACACACAGGATGACATGCCAAGGAGCAGCCGTCATCTCAGCTCACAGGAGCGATTTGTGCTTCCCGAGCACTTTTGAGCGTGTGTACCTCCACACCCCTGCGAGTCAGGTGGGGCTGGTGCATTTGGCAGGTGAGGAGACAGAGGGTGTGGTCAACCGAGGGACTGGATGAGAATGTCATGCAGCTAAATCCTCTATGCTCCTAAGTGTACTGGTCTGAAAAGCTGACTCCGGTGGGGGAAGACCCTCACAGTTATGAGATATAGTAAGTAAATCTTAATACATATTCTCATGACTGGACACAATCCCTCCAATAACCCTCCCCCCACCCCCATTAAGGAGCAGTCTTAAAGGAGCTACCCTGATTGATGAATCGTTTCTGTGTCTTGACTACTTCACTGGGCTTGGGGGTTACCTGTAGATAAGAGCAATCAGGTTCTATAGCCAACCCAACGTAAAATGTAGCAAACTCTGTTTTGACATCTCTAACAGATACTGAGATTAAAACCCGTGGGGAGGGCTCAGAGGGCTTTGAAATCAACTAGCACAAAGTCAAGACAATGACTCACATCATTGCCAGTTCTATTATGCTACCCAGTTATGTTATTACCCATTGACCATGGACATGGTAGCTGTGTGACGGGCATGCCTTATGAAAGATCTGTGAGCCCCATTGTATCTACCCATGGAAAATATAGTCACTCTGTCAGTCCTGTGCCCTGCTGTCCACCTTTAATATTTTCCATATTCACAAAGTCGCTCCCAAGGACCCGTTCGAGTGTTGGGGAGCCCCCTTCACCCCAATAGGAGTGGAAAGGAGTGGATGATATGTGTGGAGTAGTGACTTTGTGCTAAGCACCCAAGATGCATTATCTTGATTAACTCTCACACTCCCCATGGATGCTAGGCGGCTATTAGCCCGTCTCACAGGGAAAGCAGTGGCGTCCAAGAGACGCCGACTCACCGGCGTTCACTCAGCAAAGGGCAGCAGAGTCAAGATTCACACCCAGGTCAGGCTGGTTCTACAGCCCAGGCTCTGGTAACCCTGTGTCCGTGTGCCTCCCTCCAGTCTTGTTAGTAGCCCTGCTGTTGCCGTCACTGCCACTGAGGGCTGACTGCTCCTGCCAGAGTCCCTTGTAAGTGTGTCTGTGTGGCCCGCTGTCATGAACCCCTGTAAGTAGGCACATCAGGTGGGGCCTCTTCGCTGCAGCTTCCCCTGTGTAAGGAAACGTGCCCAGGCAGAAGCACTTTGCTACATTGATGCATCATCTCGTCACAGCAGGTACATCTGCTAGGCATGTGTTGTCTGAGTATGACCTTAGTAAAGGATCTGTCCCCCCGTATTGCACATCAGTGGTGTGCATCTTTCGTCAGTCATGTATGCCATGGTGCGAAGACGAGAGTAGCACCAACTGTGGTGGTGGCTCGGCTGGCCCAGGATGCTCACAGGTTTGGCAGTTAGGCAACAATGTGGTCATCCTCCAGTTGGTGACCGGCTGTGGCCATCCTCCATCTTGGCATAACACCCATTTTCCCATAATGGCCTGGCCTTTGAAACCTAACCGAGTTGCCCATAAGTGAGGAGTGGGTAGATTAAATAAATATGATCTATAAATGAATCCACGTCTCTCCATTCCACAGGGAAAGAAACTAAAGTTCCTAGGCCTTGAGTGATTTGTCTGAGGACAGCTGTCTGACAGTCGCGGGGGCTGAGGGGGCTAACTCTGTCTCCTCCAATGTCCGCCCTCTTAACCCCTGGCTCAAGGTCCAGCGTGAAGTCTGGCCTTAGGCTGCATTGGTCCTAGGGGATGTTACAGCCTGCCATTTCCCTGCACAAAGATAGACGGGGAGCATCAGAGACTTGGGGAGAGAGGAGGACTTCTCAGTGGCGGGACTGGGTGATGACGCCAAGCCTCAGTGGGTGGCATCTGTCCCTGAGTTGGCATGGAAACAGGGGCTTCTAGCAGTTGTTTGTTGCCAAGGACTATCCCAGTGACTGGTCAGGGCCTGCTGTGCTCACAGGTTGTACAGGGGCCCCAGAGGCACTCAGAACCCCAAACGATCTCGTCATTGGCCGTTCCCTGTTAGAACTCCATGCCTCTCTCTTGCAACTGAGCTCCACATGAAGCAGCCACCCTCCCAGTTTGGCCATGGACCACCCCGGCTCTTCTTTCTCTTCCCATTGATGTTTCTCTAATAGGAAAACCAGGGCCGGCCTGTTTCTGCAATTATCTAGCAAGTGGCTGCTGGGCGTGGAGAAGACCAGCTGGCAGGCTGCCCCTCTGCTTGTTTCTCACCCCACCCTCCTTCCAGTCTGCTTCCTCCACTTTCACTGGCCCCCATCGTTCCTTCTCAGGGGGAGCCACCCCTGAGAAATAAACTTGCCTGCAGACTGACTTCTGCAGAGGCCAGACCAACCTCCCTTCCCACCTCCCCATCCCAACCCCGCTCCTTTCTTGTCTTGCTGGTGCGTCCGGCTGCGAGCAGGGTGGAGCTGCCTGAATCATCGGAGCAGCTGGCTGTGCACAAGGTGGCTGGCAGCCAAAAGAAGCCACCTGTGTCTTGCCTCTTGCCAGGGACAAGCTGCAGAGGTGCCCTCACCTGGTGTCACATGCCCGCTCCTTTGTGCCCATTGGGTACAAAGGCTCTGGCACGTTCCTTGTCCTGGGGCAGGTGGGAGGCCAGGAGGTGTGTGTGTCTGAAGTTGGGAGTGCAGAGCCGTCTCCCCTGGGACAGAAAGGAGCTGCCTCCAACTCGGCAACTGTTGGGCGTGAGTGTGTGCTGCTCACGGTGCCGCACAACCACCAATGCAATGACACTAGCGAGCCTCCTGTTTAGGAAGGAAACTGGCACTCAGAGAGGTGAATCCACATGCCCAAGGTCACACAGTGAGACGGGCATGGCTTGGGAGCCCAGTCCCTATCTCTTAGCCACTCGGTTTTACTGCATCGAGAGAAGATGGCATTTGCCAGAGAGGATTCTGTAGAAGAAGAGAGAGCTGCTGTGGTCAAGACTGTTTCCATGTCAGGTGCCGGACACACAACTCAAACTGGCTTAAACACAAAAGTGCGACATGTTGGCTTCTAGGATGAACAGGTCCATCAGTCATGACTTCAAACACGCTCTAGCTGGATCTGGGGGCTCAGACTGTGTCCCCAGGACCGGGCCCAGAGTCCTGTGTCCTGTGTTGGCCTCTTTCTCAGGGAGGAGCTCCTTCATGGGAGTAGCCAGCTGTCAGCCCTAAAGGTGGAGTCCTGTTCTCATGGCAACCCTAGGCAACACGGCCAGTCCTTCTCTCCCTGGGTCCAGGATTTCCTAGGCATGTCTCCCATTGGTCTGAATTGAGTCTACAGCTCCATTCCTGAACCCATCACTGTGACCAAGGGAGTTGAATAGGCTGGGGAGTTGATGGTCTGGGGCCTGGGTTATCTACTCACCCTTGGTTCGTTCCCGCCCGGTCTCCCACAGCACTCTGCTTTTCAGCTGGGTTCAATACTTCATTGCTGGGGCCACAATGAACTCACAATGCTCATGATTACGGAGTGTATTAGAGGAGTTAACGGGGTGCATTGTAGTAAGAAATACTCAGGATACCGTTGTTCAGTCTGGCCAGTTTGTTCTCTGCCATGCCCACAGGTTCTGTCTGGCCTGGCAATGCTCCAAAGCTCTTTAACGACTGCCGATAAATACCAAAGGGCACGCTACTCCACTATAAGCTCCAACCTGAAAGTACCCAGCTCACCCACCCCTTACATGCTCAGAGGCATCCTGTTCCACTAGTCAGCCTCCTAACCCAAAGCAGGCAGCTTTACTTACTTGGCGGGCCAGGAAGTCCACTGCTCTGTCCCATTCTGCTGCTGCTGCTCTGCTGCTCCGCGGGCATCCAAGCTGTCCCCTGGGTCAAGGAGGCCCAGTGCCCAGGGATCTCAGGGTCCAGAGGACACGCTCCACTCCTGGCTCTTCTCTCTTGCTGGTAGTTAGATCCCCCTTGCCTGCTTCTGAGATGACGGATTTCACACCCACCAGGCTCATTCACAGCTAAATCATATCATCTGATCAGTATCTTCCTTCACCTTCTGACCCGGGCCCATTTGGAGTAACAAAGGCTTTGGCCAGAAGCAGCTTATTAAATAATTCACTGCGTTGCTAGTCCCCATCCAGACCATCTGGACTAAGAATGGAAAGGGCATTGTTCCCCAGGCAAAATAAGGAGCTGCTGCCAGAAAGGGGGTCGGCTAGGCTGCCAGAAACAGATGCCCATGGCGGTGGGTTACTGAGCCAAGGCTGACAGCAACGTATTGGGAGGGGGGTGGGTTCTTTTCCCAAGGCCAGAATGAGATCCCCAAGGAAGTTACAGGAGTTGGACGGGAGAGCTGTGGGTTGGGCGCGTTTCCCCAGTGCAGGGGACGCTCAGAGTGACTGTCCACCTGTCTCTGTTCCAGGTCAGCACAGGCCATGGCGCTGGGGCTCTTCCGGGTGTGCCTGGTGGTGGTGACGGCCATCATCAACCACCCGCTGCTCTTCCCTCGGGAGAACGCCACGGTCCCGGAGAACGAGGAGGAGATCCTGCGAAAGATGCAGGCGCACCAGGAGAGGCTGCAGCTGGAGCGGCTGCGCCTGGAGGAGGAGGTGGCACAGCTGGCGGCCGAGCAGGCGGCTGTGGAGCAGGCGGCCGCCGCGGGCCCGCCGCTGAGCGAGACCGGCACCGCCTGGGACCTCTGGAGCACGCTCTGCATGATCCTCTTCCTGATGATCGAGGTGTGGCGGCAGGACCACCAGGACGGGCTGCCCGCCGAGTGCCCAGCCGGGGACGAGGATGAACTGCCTGGCCTGGGGGCCACCCCGCTCCTCGGTCTCACCCTGCCCGACAAGGCCACGCTCGGCCACTTCTATGAGTGCTGCATCCGGGGGGCCACGGCCGATGCCGCCCGCACCCGGGAATTCGTGGAAGGCTTCGTGGATGACTTGCTGGAAGCCCTGAGGAGCCTCTGCAACCGGGACACGGACATGGAGGTGGAGGACTTCATCGGGGTGGGCAGCATGTACGAGAACTGGCAAGTCGACAGGCCCCTGGTCTGCAACCTCTTTGTGCCCTTCACACCCCCCGAGCCTTACCGCTTCCACCCCGAGCTCTGGTGCTCCGGCCGCTCGGTGCCCCTGGGCGGCCAGGGCTACGGGCAGATCAAGGTGGTGCGCGCGGACGACGACGCCACGCTGGGCTGTGTGTGCGACAAGACCAAGCTCGGGGAAGACATGCTGTGTCTCCTGCACAGTCAGAACGGCAGGGGCCTGCCTGGCGGGGAGACGGAGGAGCTGCTGTGTGCCTCGGGGTCCCCGTACCTGGACACCATGCAGGTCATGAAGTGGTTCCAGACGGCCCTCACCCGGGCCTGGCACCGCATCGCCCACAAGTACGAGTTCGACCTGGCCTTTGGCCAGCTGGACACCCCGGGCTCCCTGAAGATCAAGTTCCGCTCAGGGAAGTGTATGCCCTTCAACCTGATTCCCGTGATCCAGTGCGAGGATTCGGACCTGTACTTTGCCTCCCACCTGCCCAGGCGGCCCTCCCAGGGGAGCCCGGAGTCCAGCACCGACTGGCTCCTGTCCTTCGCGGTCTACGAGCGGCACTTCCTCCGGATGAAGTCCAAGGCGCTGCCCGAGGGCGCCTGCCACCTCAGCTGCTTGCAGATCGCCTCCTTCCTGCTCTCCAAGCAGAACCGCCTGACCGGGCCCAGCGGGCTCAGCACCTATCACCTGAAGACGGCCCTGCTGCACCTGCTGCTCGCTCGGCCGGGCCAGGACTGGAGGGCCGAGCAGCTGGACGCCCGGCTGCAAGAGCTGCTCCGATCGCTCGAGAAGAGTCTGCTGGAGAAACGGCTCTGCCACTTTTTCATCGGCAACCGCAAGGTGCCGGAGGCCACGGGACTCCCGCCGGCCATCCGCAGGGCCGAACCCCTCAACCTCTTCCAGCCCTTCGTCCTGCAGCGGAGCCTCTACCGCCAGACGGTGGACTCCTTCTATGAGATGCTCAAGAACGCCCCGGCCCTCGTGAGCGAGTATTCCCTGCATATCCCTTCGGATCATGCCAGCCAGCCCCCCAAAGCTGTCATCTTATAGGACATAGGACCCAGAGGCCAGGCCGGTGGGCACCCCAGCACGCCTGTACCCCGGGGACATCTACAAGCCTTCTATGGGATGATGGTGGCTCTGTTGGGACCCGTGGCTCTTTGTGCCTGGAATGCAGAGGTCCGTAGATAGGAAGCAGGATTCCATGGTGGCAGCAGGTGTGCCTGAATGGCCGTGGGGCCTTTAAATAGACGTTGTTGTGGGGCTGGGGGGCTGCTCCTGTGCTACGCCACTCTTTCATCTTCGTGGATGGCCAGGATGGGGTCAGAGCCCTCTGTGGACACCAACGTAGAGACACTTCCAACATGGGCATTGCACCGCATGTCCAGTGTTTGCTTGAAGGTTCACAGAGGAACTGCCAGCATGCTGACTGACCAGGAACGGCGAGAGGACTGCGGCCAGGGCACTGACAGCGACGAGCTGGGGAGTCTGAGCCCTTTGCTCATGGGCTGCATGGCACCGGGCATCCCATGGGCTGCCACCTGCCTACTCTGTGTGGAGGGAAGACCTGGTAGAGCCCCAAGCTCTTTGGCGGCCACATTCTCAGCCACATGTCTCCCCCTCCCCGTAGCATGGTGGGTCTCAGCATCTGGGGAGCAGGAGTGGATGCTGTTGGCATGGGAGCAGGAGGCTGATCAGAAGAAGAGGCCCAGCTCCCTGGAACGAGCCTTACTAGCCCCGCCAAGGGCCAAGAAGGGAGTCAGCACCTGGCTCTCCCTTCAGTGTAGACTGGCCACACCCCCACACAACACCCAGTTTAACAGGAGTGCCCAGGGCACCTCAAGAAGGGCAGGAAGGAAGGAGTTTTCCCCCTGCCCCTCACCCCCCCGAGTACACTCACACCGGGACTCAAGAAAGCTCAAGGAGATGGACAGTGTGCATGGCTAAGGGCCCAGGGCCCCTTAGCTGCGAGCAGGCCCCTGACACTTCTAGGGGACCTTCCTGAGTGGTCTGGAGTTTCACAGGGTGGCAGGCTTGGGTCTGTCCTCCCTGGCTTGCCCTCCCCTATCCCACAGCAACTGGGCCCATGCCCTGGAATCGGCCTGCACAGAGTGTCTTGTCAGGAGCCAGATCGGAATCCATTTCCCTGGGGATTCATCTCCAGAATCGGGGGTGGACTTCCTTATTTATTATCACCTGTGCCTTTCTTGCCCCTCTGACTTTCCCCCACACCCTGCTTGCGGGGGGACCCCAGCTACCAGAAACCAGCCTCCGAAAGCCACGACCAAACCTGAGTCACCTCCTCGGCTGGACAAAGCCCACTGAGAAAACCACCCTCCGATGTCCTGTTGGGACTCAGACAGTAGATTCCCCGACGGGGCCCTGGGGTCTTTTCCGTACCAAAGATACCTCTGCACTCGGGCGGGGCTCTCGAGGGCACCTGGTGTTTCATGCGGCCTTATTTATAATAAAAGGAGAATGATGCTCTTGCGAGGAGTGGAAGCGGTCTCTGGGTTTGTTATTCACCTCAGGAAACTCGGGAGGCTCCCACGCCGAGCTGGGAGTGGGGTGGGGTAGGGGGTGCATTTCCTGTTGAGAACAGAAGCTCACCTTCCCTTTCCACGCGGACGGGAAGCAAACCGCCCAAAAGACCCTTTCCAGGCCTCCCGTGAGGGAGCACCGCCTGCAGAGTTGCAGAAAGAGCCCTGGGAAGGTGGCTGGAGAGCGGGTTCCTTCCTGCCGTGCGACCTGTCACAGAGTGTGCACCCTGGGAGCCCCGTGGTTATGCTCGGGCTGCTGACTGCAAGGTCAGCGGTACGAGACCACCAGCCGTTCCGCTGGAGAAAGACGAGGCTTTCTACTCTCGTAAGGAGTTACAGCCTCAGGAACCCACAGGGGCGGCTCTACCCTGCCCTGTACGGGTTGCGATGAGTCAGCCTGGACTCGATGGCAGAGACTTTAGTTGGTTTGTCTTTTGTCCCAGAGTGGAAGGAATGGAAGAGGCAGGGAAGCCAGGGGTGGTTCTGGCCCATAGTCACCATGGCCTTTCCCATTGGCCTCCTTGCTCCCCAACTCTCTCTTCTCAGGGTGCCTGGCTTACCCTAGCATCTGGGGTACTCAGTGCTTCCAGATAGACTTCCCTTCACATCTTGGCGAGGGGCGATGCCCCCAGTTAGGCACTCGAAAAGTCAGCAGTTCGAGCTCCCTCAGAGGGACCTTGGAAGAGCGACATGGTGGTCCATTCGCCGGGAAGCCACTACGGGGACAGATCCGCTCTGCACACACGGGGTGGTCACCAGCAGGAGTGGCCTCCATGCAGCCCCCAGCAACAAGGGGACAGGCTGAGCTGAGCCGCCACCCCAAAGTCCTGGCTCCTCAGAGGCCACCGCTACCCGACTTGATGCCTTCTGAGTGTAGCCTGGGCTGAGAGCTCGGGGCAGGGTCACAGTGCAGGGAGGCATTGGAATCTCCTAGGGCAGCAGCTTCGTCCAGTGTCCAGATCCCACCTCAGACCTACATGGTGCGCGGGCCACAGGTGGCACCCGTGTTGAGGAAGGCCTCTCACTTCCTTTCGGATGGAAATTCCCTAGGGAACCACTTCCCCTACAGCGCTAGGGGCAGAAATGCCCTGGAGAAGCTGAGGAGGCATCATGGGAACACAGCGTCTGGCGCCCACGGCCACCCACACCGGTGACAAGGAGGAGTGAGGGGGGCGAGGGAGGCAAAGGGTAGTCAGGCATCTTTCTGGAGCAAGTCCACAGGGATGTGGCAGGAGCCGAATATGCATGAGGCAGGATGGAAGCTCGAAAAAGGAGGAGAGTGAAGCTGTGCCCCAGGAGGGGCTGAGTCAGGTCAGTGCCTTACTACTTACCTGTGAACAGCACAAGCAAGACCAAGCGGTGCTGGTGAGCTCCGAGGAGGAAGCCAGTTCGTTCAGGCTGTTTCCCCAGGTTGCGGCCCTGGACTGCTCACGCTGGTATCACCTGGAGTAGGTTTCTGGGCCACACCGCAGATGACAGCAGACGCTCTAGGATTGAATTCAGGCACCTGCATTCTGCCAAACTACCCAGGAGATTCTCAAAGCCCAAGCAGCACAACTAGCTGAAAGCAGGTAGGGAAGGCCCCAGGGTACTGCCCATAGATACAGGCTATGCAGGCATTCCAGCCACAACCATGGAAGAAGGGGGCGGGGGATGGAAAGTAGGAAAACCTAAGAAGGTAGCATTGAAGCAGCACCCATCATCCTCACAGGAGGCCTGGTGATATAGAAGGTGTATAACACATTGGACTGTGTGTTGGTCCAGGTTGA